AAACCACGAGCCCGTCTTCTGGAGCAGAGGCCACGAGAACTTGCAGCTAGGGCTCCTCCGCACTGGCCGGACCGGCGACCAGAGCCGCGAGCGGAAGCACAGGCGCTCCTGCCGACTCCAGCTCCCGGGGGGCAGGGGCCCGCGCGGGTGACCGGAGAAGCAGCGGCCCGAGCGGTGCAGTCCTGTGGTCGGCCCCACGCGTCACCGCGCTCCCGTCATGGTGCTCCCGTTACAGTGCTCCCGTCACGGCGCTTCCGTCACCGTCCTCCCGTCACCGTGCTCCCATCACGGCGCTCCCGTCACCGTGCTCCCGTCACAGTCCTCCCGTCACGGTGCTCCCGTCACGGCGCTTCCGTCACAGTGCTCCCGTCACAGTGCTCCTGCAGCCGCCGCGTCTCCGGGACACGAGGCGCCAGCTGGAGAAGGCCGTGTCCCGAGAGTCGTGCTTAAGCAGCAGTCGGCGCCTTTTGTTTGCGAGTGGAGTTTCCGTTCAGTGGCGGGAAGACAGGCTGTCCCCGGGCGCGGCCAACGCGGGCGCCGCGGCGGGAGGAGCACACGCGGCCTGCACGTGCCGGGGCTCGCGCGCCCTCACTCCCGCCGCTCCGCCTCGACACCGACACCCTAGACACGAGCGCGGCTGCGGCTCAGGGTCCCGAGCAGAGTCAGGGGAGAGGACACCCGCAGTCAGCAGAGCGAGCAGGGCGCACGCGCAGCGCGGCCCGCGGGGAGGCGGCGCGGCCAGGCGCGTGTGGGGTGCAGCGAGGCCGGGCCTTCCTCGCCAGGCTCTCCGCTGGCGGCCTCCCGTCTGGCCTGCTGCAGCGCAGCCGACTCCGCCTTTCTTCCCCTGCGTTCTGAGGCCCGCGGCCGTCTGTGCAGGCCGGGCGGGCCTGTGGCCCGGGTCTCCGCAGACCCCCGCGGCCCGACCCCCCCCTGCAGGCCGGCCCCCTCGACCCTCCGCCTGGCCCCTCCGCGCCTCCCCACCCCTGCGGCCCCAAAGGGCCCCCCACCCCCGCTGGCCCTCGGCCTGGTCCCGCCTGCCGGCCCCCAACCCGCCGGCCACCCGCGCCCAGCGCTGCCCCTGATGCCGCCTGAAGCCGGCCCCTGCTCACTTCCCCGCCTCACCCCCCGCAGGCGGCCCTCTGCCCACTACCCCGCCGCCACCCCGCACCCCACGCAGGTCGGTCATCCGAAGCCCGCGGCCACCCGCTCCACGCAGGTCGGAACCTGCCCGGCAGGACGCCGCCCACCCGCCAAACCGCCCTGCCGCCCCCCCATCCCGGCTGCCTCCGCGTGCTCCCCAACTCTGCCAGGCACTCCCGCCGGCCACCATCCCCGCAGCACCTCCTGCTTGCGAGCCCACGTCGGGCCCCCTTCCGGGTGCGCCATTCTCCCCACAGGCGCCCGGGTGCTCAGTCCAGCAGGGCGCCCATCGCAGGCGTTTTTTTTTTCCCCCCCCCTTGCCCCGCAGGCGCCCACCGCAGGCGCCATAACCCGCAGCCGCCCCCCGACAAGCGTCCCGCCCGCAGGCTGCTCCATATCCGCAGCGCCCATCGCGGCATCCCCCTCCCGCGCGCCCCCCCCTGCAGGCCGCTCCTTATCCGCAGGCCGTCCCCCTGCCGCAGGCCGTGCCGCCGTCCCGCAGGCCGCCCCTCCCGCAGGCGTCCAATATCCCGCAGGCGCCACCCCCCGCAGGCGGCTCCATACCCCGCGCGCTGTCCCCCCGCAGGCGTCCCTCCCCGCAGGCACCCTCCCGCAGGCGTCCCTCCCGCAGGCCCCCCCCCGCAGGCGTCATACGCCCAAGGCCGTCCCTCCCCAGGCGCCCCCGGAGGCGTCTACCCCGAGGCCCCCCCCGCGGCGATCGATACAGCAGTCCGTCCCCCTCCCGCAGGCCTCCCTCCCCCGAGGCGCTTCTCATCTGACGGCGGCCCCCCCCACGCAGGCACGCCCCCCCAGGCCGGCCGCCGGTCTCCTGTCCTGCCAGGCTGGCCGTCACTGAGAAGCGGGAGCGATGCAGAGGGGACAGTCCCGGGAGGGCCGCAGGGCCCCCTCCGCAGTCACTCGGGGCTTGGGGACACCTGCGGGCCGCCGGGAAAGCCTGGCCGCCCCGGGGCTGCGCGAGGCGGGCGGCTGGCTGCCCCACCGCACGTGGGGAGAAGAGTTTCAGAAACTGAGTTTAGAATCCTGAGTGACGCATGGGCTTTCAGTGTTAGGAAACCCGCACTAGCAACCTTACCGGGAGAAGAGCACGTGGTAACAACAGCCTGCTCATAACAGTCGGACGGGGCCTGGATCCGAGTCCGTTATGCACGTGCATGTTGGCTTTCTCTGCTTCCTCCGCGAAGTTACTGCAGTGGTCCCTTCTTCCACCGCCTTCTCTGCCTTCCTCGAAACGCAGCACTGGCTCTTCAATGCACGGGTACTTCTGAGTGTATGGTTTGCCAGGTATCGGGGATAAAGAGATGAATAAAATACCTCAAGGGAATTAAATAACCCAGGCAGGCAAAAATACATGTAACAAATTCAATTTTATACAGTATTTTCAGCATAACAATATAAGTATGCTCAAGGGGTAGAGATAGCACTGATGAAAAATACTGCTTGAGCCCACGTGAGGTGTCAAGAATGAGATTCTTAAATGCATTCAGGAGGAGGACTATTGGAACACTAACCAGCTGACTGTTACGGTGTTATTTTTGGCATGATTTTCTTTATTCATTAGAGGGTAGAGAGGCTACCATCTAGCCTTGTTCTATTCATTTCTTAGGCATAGCCCTATTAAAGAAAATTTGAGAGCGATGATAATGTTGTGTTTACGTAACTCCAATATATTAACCAGAACACAAGCTTTTAAGAATGCCAAAGACACAAAGGAGGCCGTTTTAGGCACAATACATAAAAACGATATTCCATTTGGTTTTGTGCATGAATTGAACAGGAATTGAACAGCTTCAATTCCTGTTTGTACTTATGCCTTTTTTTTGGATCTACAATCAGAATATGTTTTAGAAATACCAATGTATGATAAAATTTATTTCTAAAATGGACTTAAAACAGATCTTGACTTACATGAGTTTGTTTAAGCTAAGCTACTGTGAACTCTGATTTCTATGTGGTACTTTGGCTGCAGAAGCAGGGAGTTAGCTGAGACTGGTGCAATGAAATGAAATGATTATTAGATTATCTTAAATCAGAATTATGTGATAATTCATGCTGAAATTAGAAGAATTTGAAGTGAGTTCTTTTTCCTTTTATGCTATAATGGCTTCAGTTTAAATTATATTATTCAAAGGGTACTGGAGCTTTCATAAATTATTCATTTGCAAAGATTTAGCTATTTCAAGCCACTTTCCCCGAAACAGAAGGGGTTGAGTAAAATGGTTTCGTTTTGCTGAAGCATTCATAAATATCCTTTTGCCTTACTTCTGCAACTAATTTGGGTGTCTGTTAGTTTAAGGGACACTTACTTCCCACTATCAGATTATCTCATGTAATAGTTCCACTTTCTAGAACAATTTGGGAATGAACATTTTCTCATTCTTATTATCAGACTAAATTCAAAACAGAGAACAATTAAAACTGTACCTCTAGGGATTTCGGCAAGTCTTGAATCTTTCCATAAAAGCTGGTCTTTCCTTTAACATTATGATCTCACGTCTTTCAGGAGAAGCAATTGCTGTTTTCTTTTTATGTGTTTTTCTACCTATATAGATCTCTGTAGTGATTTGCTTATCCTCTGAGATATTCTTGTTCACATATTTTTGTTACAGTTAGGATGGCTATAAATTAATTAGGAGTATTTCTAAGCGTGGTGTATTCTGGGGGTTAGTCTGGACCAGGGCTCTCCATTATTGGACACAGATGCTCAGCTGGTAATCAACCGTCTGTAATTATGCTTTGGAGAAACCTCATGAGCAAAGAAACTCAACTTTAGTCATAATTATAATTTGTAATTGTATAAAATTGATATTCTGCAATCTCTATGAAAGATTAACTCAGTAATTGAAAGATTGCTCTCTTCCTAAATCAAGTATTATTTAGTATTGTTAAAGGAAAAACTTTAGACAAATTAAATTTAAGAGTTTAATTGAGCAAGGAAACAAAACAAAACAAAAAAACAATGATTTGCCAATCGGGCAGCCCAGAGAATCAGAACAGATCCAGAGAGACCCAGGGCTGCCACATTTGGAGATTTATGGACAGAAAGGAGAGTGACATTTATTTAATAGAAAACGGAAACAAGGTACAGAAACGGCTGGATTGGTTACATGCAGCTCAGTTTGCCTCATTTGAACACAGTTTGAATACTAGGCCACCTGTGAACGGTTGAAGCTTGGCTGCTGTGATTGGCTGAGCTTAGCTATTATTGCAGAAGCATGTAACTAGTTAAGTTTTCTGTTTGCTTACATACTAAATTGGGTTGTGGTTCATACATAAGAACTCAAGTGTGCCAGTACAGAGGCTTTCTCAGTCCAGATTTTAGCTTGACTTAACATATCAATGGTGTTATTTAGTGTAGTATATATTTTTTATTTCAAAATATTAAGGGGGTACAAGTGTTTTGTTACATAGATGAATTGTATAATGCCGAAGTCAGGGCTTTTAGTGTTCCTGTCACCAGAGTAGTGTAAATTGTACTCCATAGGTATGTTTTTATCTGTCACTCAACATTTTCTTTATCCACTCATCAGTTGATGTCTCTTGCAGCACAATTCACAATTGCAAAGATATGGAATCAACCTTAGTGTAAAGTTTTCAAGCTTTGTTGGGTTTCTAGTTCTGAGTCACTTATCTTTTTCCTTTCCTTGCTTCAAGGCCCCGGATTGCAGCTTTTGCCCTTGATTGACCTTGTGTTAAGTGAGAATTGAGATAAGTGTGGGTGGAGAATCACACTGGGGCACATTTCTATAAGAATAGGGTGAGGGCAGCCCAACAGGAAGAAGTAGCAGGTTCAAACAGTGATGACAATTAAAGCTAGAGAGCAAAGGAAAGAGGAGTGAATGGGTTATAAGTGGAAGCAAAAAATATAGAAAACTAATTTTGCAATAAATTGGTAATAAAGTTAAGGAGACCAAAGGGTATAGCTACAGAATGAGGAAAGATTATCTGAAGCTAGGGCAGACTTGAACATGTTTATCTGGAGAGAGCAGTGAGTGAGAATGGGAAGAATGATGGTACAAAAGAGAAGCAGTCACCGCGAGGAATTCTCGTAGGAGATAAAAGGGAAGAGCAGGAGCTCATGTGGAGGGTTAGCGTTATTGAGGAAGCAGAGCACCTTTTGAGAGGCTACAATGAGGAAAGAAAGAGTTATGAAGATAGAGATTTTGATGCTTAATTTTATTTGTCAACCTGGCTAGGCTCTTGTACTCAGTTGTTAGGTCAAACACCAAGTCTAGATTTTGCTACGAAGGTATTTTTAGAGATGAATTAACATTCAAAGCAGTAGACTCTGAGTAAAGCGGATTACTGGAAAGAGATGGGCCTCGCTGAGTCGGTTGAAGGCCTTACGAACACACACTGTGGCCCCCGGAGGAAGAGGAGTTCCGCCTTCGGACAGCCTCTGGCTCTGGGCTGCAGCCAGCTGCCTGTCCTCCAGGTCTGGGCTGCTGGCCGGCTCTGCGAAGTTTGGGCTTGCCAGCCTCGTGTAACGTAAGCCAATTCCTTAAGACAAGTCTTTCTCTCTCTGCATACACACATCCTGTTGGTTCTGTTCCTGTGAAGAGCCCTGACTAATGCGGAGACCCCACACGGGCTGGAGGGTTTTGAAGATGCTCAGGTTAGCGATGTAAATCTCTGATAAAACGGGAGCCTAAGATATGTGATGAAAATGAAGTGTGCGCTTAAAAATACAAATTTTCCCGAAGAACCCTGAGGTAGGTACCTGAGACTGTGGCTTCTTTCAGAATAAGGAATCTCTTTTATGTGTTTTGTATTCTAAAATCACAGCACAATAGCTGGCATTTTGAAAGTATACAACAAATGTTTGCTATTAGTCAAGTAAGCTGAACAAAAGGTCTGTGAAAGGCCCAGCTAAGGTAGATGTTATGAATCCTAGTGAACAAATTGTCATGGCTCTGTAACTTTTTGCCATAATGTTAATTTTCTGGAACTTAGAGCAGAAAAAATGGAGCGTGGGGATGAGCACAATGAGAACTGCTGAGGGTCAAGAGGTTGAGGACAACCAGAGTGGTCGAGTGAGCTGTGAGCCATGAAAAGTCCTGCCTGTGTGGCCCAGGTGAGTTCAGAAGTGACAAGTCACACTGGGGTTATTGGTCTCAGAGAACTGGAAGGAGCCAAGGGGTGAAATGACTTTATGAAGATAAGGAGGCTGCTCAATGGGAGAAGTGACGTGGAAAGGTAATGTTGTCAACCAGCGATCAAGGGGACTCAGACACCAGAATCCAATCAGCCAAATTAGTTTATTTCTACCTTCGCAGGGGCTGTCACCACTCCATGCAAGGAGGGAGAAGCAGCCCCGAACAAAGCCTTTGCGGTTTTCTTATACACTAGGGGCTGGCAGCTATGTAAGTGAATAATCATAGAAAATCACAGAAGCAGAATTTTGCGGTTAGCCGTTAATCAAGCGGACAATGGAAAGGTACACTAAGGGACAAGAGACTTTCCTGGAACAGGACCTCTCTATTTTTGAGAACAGGCCTCCTCGACTCCCTCCTCCCTCCTCTGGGAACTTCCTCTGGGAACTTTCTTACACGGTCGAGGCCTTTTACTAATAGTTAGAGCAAGACTGACTCCATTTTAGATCTGCAGGAGCCATCTTTAGTCTGTCTACTTCAAGAAGAACAAAGGAGGCATTTGTCTATGAGTTTCATTAACTCTTAGGACTTTGGTGGCAGCATCCTTCTGAGTGGGCAAAATAGGGGGAATAAATATTGGAGTTATTTAAAGAATATACTTTTATTTTGCTATTTATACATATCTTAGTTCTTTTTTTTTTTTTTTTTTTTTTGAGACAACGTCTCGCTTTGTTGCCCAGGCTAGAGTGAGTGCCATGGCGTCAGCCTAGCTCACAGCAACCTCACACTCCTGGCTCAAGCAATCCTCCTGCCTCAGCCTCCCAAGTAGCTGGGACTACAGGCATTCGCCACCATGCCCAGCTAATTTTTTGTATATATATTAGTTGGCCAATTAATTTCTTTCTATTTTATAGTAGAGACGGGGTCTCGCTCTTGCTCAGGCTGGTTTCGAACTCCTGACCTCGAGCAATCCGCCCGCCTCGGCCTCCCAGAGAGCTAGGATTACAGGCGTGAGCCACCGCGCCCGGCCAATATCTTAGTTCTTTAATATATCATTCAAGAAGGTTGTAACCAAGAAAAGATATAGTCAGTAACTGCATAGCATTTCCTACTCTAATCATAAAAATATTGAGAGTGGCACATGGCATTAGCAAGATCCTTTGTTAGGTTCTGGGTCTTTGCAGACTCCAAGCAGGTGTTGAATATAAAGAGCACTGAACTTGGAATTAGAAGATATTGGTATAAGTCCAAGCTTTGCTATTTGCTAAATGAATGAACTTGGGCAATTCTATAACCTCATAAATGTGTTAGCTTACAAAAGGTTAATGATAACAATATGGTTTAGGATTATTGTAAAGATTAAGTAAAATGTACAAAGGTTCTTTTCAACTGTAAAGTTTAAATACTAGGTAATATTTTATAAATATTAATTAGACATGGTAGTCTTTTTTGAGGGACATTCTACTTGAAAAAGATAGTTCAGGGCTCATTTTTAGTTAGAAAATTACATAATTAAATTAAAACATCTTAATTATGTTTCCATTTTAATATATTTAATAATTACTAATATTTGGTAGAACATTATTTATTGTTTAACCCAATGGAGACCAAAATACAGACTTAAGATGTCCTTTAATACACTGTAAATGTTGTGATTCTCCTTGTTTATAAAAGAAAAAGCCTTACCATACCTATTGTTCCCATTCTCTAAGAAGAGCCATGGAACAGATTTGTGTTTGTGTTTAACTTTCAATAAAATAAATCCCTAGACGTAGAAAAGTAACTACCAATTGTATATACTCTGAATACAACCAAAGTTAATCAAAACGATTCATTTCAGGTTAGAGTTAAAGCCAAGAATAAATAAATAATAATTATGCAATTACACAATTTACATAATTATTTTCTCCCTAAATGTTAATTTATTTTTTACAATTAATGCTGTAAGTTCTGAGATTCAGGCTCTTAATAGAATTCCTAGATGGGTGTCAAATATCTACCCAGAATTTATAAATTTTAACTTGAGCATTAAGCTCCTGTGTAATTAATACAATATTTGATATTAAAATATTTGAACAGTTAACATCGATCATTTCCTGCACCTGAGGTGATATTTAATGCATTGTACAGTACATATGACAATGAGCAAGGAGAATCCTTTTCCCTTTGGACTGTAGGAAGGAACTCTTTCCATCAACATGGTGTTAAAAGACCCCCAGAGCTCTGGCCTGATTCTCATGCAGAGCAGAACTCACATTGTGGCAGGAGGCAGGAAAGAGAACACAAGCACAGAACATTCTGGTTAGAGAAAGAGTTTGGGATTCTTGTAGTCATTTCTGAGAGTCTTAGGATATAAGCTGAACTGCTGAAACAAAATCCTTGAAAAGTGGGTGTTAAATGAGATAGAATTTTATCTCACTCTCACGTGGTAGAGAGGAAGGTAGGTGAGCAGTCCAGGGTAGGCAGCATGTCCTGCTTCATGAGTCTGTCCAGGATCTTGGGTGGTCGGGCAGCTTTGCATCATCTAAGGTGGCTTTTCTCTGGATCTAAGGCAGCTCCTTTAGGTGTCCCATTTCCCAGCCATCAGGAAGAGTAAAAGAGAAATGCAGCGAACCTCTTTCTTTCTATGGATGTGACCCAGAGGTTGCTCGTATCATTTCCATTCACATCTTCTTGTCTAGAACTTACATGATCACAACTGCAACAAAGGTTGGGTGTTGTAGTTTCTAGCTGGGAAGATTTATGCACTAAAATTGGTGATGTCATCCTTTCATCTTCCCTGTCTCACGATCAGCACGTGATCCATAACTGGGTCTGGGCAGTCCAACCTCCAAATGATTTCCATTGTTCTCCATATTCCTAACAACGCTCTAGCCTGAAGTGCCATCATCCCTTGCCTGGCTACTGCAATAACTTCCTAACTGGTCTGTGCGCTTCCACTCGTGCCCCCCACTAAGTCATTTCTCACACTGTGACCATTAATTGTTTAAAAATATAAACCAAATCATCACTCCTCATTTGAAGCCCAGTGGTGTCTTCCCATTTGCATAGAATGAAGTCCATACTGTGCACCGGAGCCCTGAGATGTGCCCGACCAGGCTCTGCAGGCTAGTGCCGTGCTGTCGCCCAGTCAGTGCGCTGGGCCTTGTTCCGGATCCCTCCCCCCCCCCTCCTCGCTCACTCACACTCCTTCCTCGTCCTGGAAAGCATTCGCTGGTGCCCCTGGATGGCCGGCTGGCCCGCAGCTCCTGGCACTCAGCACAAAGGCCACCTATTCTGGGACTCTTTCCTGTCTGCCCTGTCTAAAGCTGCGTGTCTTGTTTCCAGCCACTCCCTACTGTATCGCCTTATTTCTTCATCACATGTATTAAATTATGTAATAATCATATTTGTTTACTTATTGTTTGTCTCCTTTCATTAGAAAATAATCTTCCAGGCTTCCTCCCTGGTTCTTGGACTCTGGCACGTAAGTGGAATTGGAATGTTTGTAACACAAAGAAATGATAAATGCTTGAGGTGATGGACACTCTATCCTGATTTGATTAATTCACATTGTATGCCTGTATCAAAACATCACGTGCACCCTATAAATATATACAACTGTTATGTACCCATAATAAAAAGAAAAAAATCTGCTGGGAAAAGTAGATAAAAAGAGCCTTACACAGATTTGCCTCCATGAGCTTTATTTCTGACTTGGGTGTGCCACACGTTATGCCGAAGACGTGAACTCATCAACCTCAGTTGGTGTTTGAAGGTTCAGCCATTCTCCTCTGTAGTAGTTTGAATGGTGCCCCCCCCCAAAGTTATGTTCATGTCCTAACACTCAGACACTGTGCATGTTGCCTTATTTGGAAAAAAGGGTCTTTGCAGATGTAATTAAGTAAAGATTCTTAAGTAAAGATGAGAGTACCCTAGATTAACCCAATAGGCCCTAATCCAGTGACAAATGTCCTTGTAAGGGCAGAGGGAGATTTGTGACTCAGAGAACGTCATGTGAAGACAGAGGCACAGAGTAGAGTTATATGGTCACATGCTAAGAATGCCTGAGCAACCAGAAGCTGGAAGAAGCAGAAAAGATTTTCCCTCGAGCCTTTGGAGTGAGCACAGCCCTGCTGACAGCTTTATACCAGACTTCTGGCTTCCCAACCTGTGAGAGAATAAATTTCTGTTGTTTCAAGCACCTGAATACATAAGTATGTACCAAATAGTGTGTATGGGGGGCATACTTATACCAAAAAATTACTTGTTGTTTGTCTGTAATTCTAATTTAACTGGGCATTCTGCATTTTTATTTGCTAAATCTGACAATCTTACTATAATCCCAAGAATATTTGAAAATGAAGAATTAACAGGGAATGATATATAGATTCTGCCAAGTAAGAACTGGCATCAAATTTAAAAAATCAATATAAGTAAAAAGAAAGTGAAATTAGTGTCACAGAAATTTTAAATATGTCACAAAATTCTGAAATTTTGTTCAGAAAAGTAGCTAAGTAAAATGCTTGGAATTATAAAAGATTTTTTACATTTTAAATCAGATCTAAAACTGTCTTAGAAATAGCTAATTTGTTTCTTGTGACTGTAAAAAATAAGAATTAAAATTCATCTGACCCTGACTTAATTTTTTTTCAAATCCCCAGGGAATTAAGATCCAATTTAGGGACTGCCTCTTATTTCAACTACCAACAGTTCATTAGATTCAGCTTGAAAATAGGTAAATTAAAGCACAGAATTGAAAAAAATTACATGGAAAACAGCTTTCGATAAAGTACATTAAAGATAATTTTCCCCAAGGGCCTGCAGGTGTTTCTGGAAATGGGCGAGGAACCTCCAGAAACACATTTTTCCTTCATATGCCTCGGGAGCAGCTAATACCACCCATAAGGCAAAATTCTGCTTTCCTGTTTAGATTTTGCATTCTCTACGTTTATAATCACCTTCTTTTTTCCTCTTGTGAGGGAATATCACGCAGGCTATT